CCTTACTCTATTTACTGCCCTGCCTAGTAGCCAGCAAATGGGTGAAGATGGGATCAAGGACACATGTAGACAAAGAAAAGAGCCACTTGACTAAAAAGGACTGGGAGAGAAGAAGAGAATGTAGGAGATGCTGTCAAGGGGTTTTCAAATGAAGAGAAGGGGAGGAGTAGCTCTTATTGAATGACCTCATTTTTCAGTAAAGTAAAAGGTAATGTCCTGAACTGAGAAAGTGGGGTTGGAGGAAGGAAGCGTATAGAAACTTGAAGAGACAATAGTTTGGAAATAGCTTTGATTGACTGTAAGATAGGAAATCAATTCGAGAAGAATAAAAGGATTGCCTTTCTGCCAGGGAGGAAGCTGGATGGCATAAATGAATGTTGGAGAAATGAAAGTTGAATAGCATAAATCAACAAATGAAGGCATTACTTACAAATATCTTGGTTTGTTTGTTTTTCCTACAAATATCTTGGTTTTGTTTGTTTCTCCATTTGTAACCTGCTTTTGGCCATGCTCACGGGAAACAGAGACACAGTGGAAGGGATTGATAGTTATACTGAGGTTCCCAAATTTTGGGAAAGAGAGGACAGAAGCCAGAGAAGGAAATAGAGCCTATCTTGTCAAGCCAAGTGGAAGTGCAGGTCAGGATTGGGGTGTTATAGGGGCCCACCAAATTTATGTTCAATAGTTTCAGTCATACCTGATTCTTTGTGACTCCATTTAAGGGTTTTTGTGGTAGAGATACTGGAGTGGTTTGCCACTTCTTTCTCTAGCTCATTTTTACAGATAAGGGGACTGAGGCAAATAGGATTAAATGACTTGCCCAAGGTCACACAGCAAGTAAATGTCTGAGGCCAGATTTTGAACTCAGATCTTCCTGAAAGAAATGGCAAATGACTCTTGTATCTTTGCCAAGAAAATTCCAAATGAGGTCACAAAGAGTCAGACACGACTGAAATGAACAACAAATGGACAGGAGTTGCTGGAAAGTGGAGATGCACACAAACATGTCATCTCAGCTTGCTAGAGGGACTGACGCTGATGAGACCTTGAGCGTGGGATTTCTGAGCTGCAGTATGTTATGCAGTTCAGATGTCACCATTTAGTCTGATATCAACATGGTGAACCCCAAGAGCAAGGGTCCTCCAGACTTGCTAAGGAAGGGTGACTGGCTCAGGTCTGAAACACGGCAGGTCACAGCTTCCAGGTCATTCAATCAATTCATCAACCAAATAAATAGCATTTATTAATCTCTTAGTATGTGCCAGGCACCAGGCCAACCACTGGGGATACAAGAAAAGGCAAAAAAGAATCTGCTCTCAAGGAGCTCAGAGTCTAATGTGGAAGGCAACATATAAACAACTACATATAAATTGTATTGGGATCAGTCCCGTGAGTAGCCCCAGCACTTCCAGCCTGGGTGAGATGGGTCTTTAAAATGAAGGTACTAAGATGCAGTAGCGGGGGAAGTACTGAACTGACCATGGAGTGATGCCTGTAGAGAGATGGGAAAAAGACTATCATTACTACCTTTTATCTATTGAAAATTGCAATTTATTTTGTAGGAAGTTTTATACATAATACTTTACCATAGGCTGTGAATTAAATGTGGTAGAAGAGGCAACATCGCATTTCATACCACAGAACTATCAATCTGGTGCTCATGTGCTCTGTTCACACTGGCAGTCAGCCAGAGTCCAAATCTCAATTAAACAGATTAGGCCAAAGAAAGCACAGATTCAGAACCCAGGCAAATTACCAAAAATTGCTGTTATTCTAGCCTTCTAACACACTGACTTCCTAAGTACGAATTGCACCCAAATATAAGAAAGTGGCTCAAGTATAACAAAACTTACAGTTGACTGTTGCCTGTAGAATAAAACATTAACTCTACAGCCTGGTATTAAAGGCCTTCTGTCATCAGGATCCAGCATACCTTTCCAGCCTTATCTCATTCTTCCTTTCATTAACTCCACATTCCACCCAAAATTCACTATGATTTTACTCCTCAGTCTTCTCCCTCCCTCTCTCTACCATCATCCTCTGAACAAGATGCTTCCATACACGTCTCTTGGAATCTTTCTTCTCTTTTTTCGAACAATTCTTTGAAAGCCCAGCTCTGATGCCTTCTCTTCCATGAAACCTTTGCTGATCAAACTTAAAAGTAATCCTTCCTTCTTTAAATTTATTGTTGCACTTTGGACATCTCCTTTGAATTTATCACATTCTACTTTTATGATGTTTCTGTACATGTCATCCTCCATTATAGAGTTTTTTTTTTTACTCAATATTCTCATGGCATATTTTCTAGTCTCCTGTCACTCTGGTTACTCTTCTCTGTACATGCTATAGTTTGACAAGAAGCAAATCCGTGAAGGATCTGTGGTTTTGCTAGTCTAGAATTATATTGCAAGAAATCATAATGAAGAAGTCATAAATAAAAACTGCACGGGACAAAAAGTATATCATCCCAGGTTTTTGGAAATAATAATAATTGTAAAATTTTAAAATTAAAAAAAAATCTAGACTCCAAAATATCTTTTAAAAATGTAAATTTCTGAGCCATTGCCAATCAGCTTGACTTTTGTCTTGTCACTGGACTTCGGTGATGCTAGAGGAAATAGTGAGGCTGACAACTTTGTACAGCTGTCTCTCTTAAATTTACTTCATGCACAAGTCTGTTGACATCACTCATGGGATGTCATTGGTCCTCTTTGAAAACGAAGGATGAACAACAACAGCCCTGGAAACTCCTGGAATGGGAACTCCAACAACCAATGCAGATGGTAGTCGATATTTGATGTAGCACTCAAGTTCTAAAGAGTCACCTGAGACAGATAGAAGTACTGATTCTAAGCCTTTGGAGGGCAGGGAATGTCATTCTTCATCCTTACATCCCTAACCTTTAGAACACTTCCTTCTAGATAGCAGGTACTTACTAAATGTTTCTTCACATCAATTCCACTGGCTTGCAAAGTGTCCCCTGTGGTATCCAAAACCCCAAACACACTTTGGAATCTCTTCATAGGAATAGGATTGGAAACAGGCACATGTGTATACGTTTTTTAAATTTATTATAATGAAGCCAGCACTTGCTTTGTAGAACTTGTTAGAATAACTGAACAATACAATGGTGTTTCCCCCGCTTCTAAATAAATAGTTAAGTCTCTTTTTAAACACCCCCATTGAGATTTGATTAGTGGCCCTTGAGCCCAGACAGACTGCTTCTAAGCTGCCTGTGGGACTGTGAAGGAGATGTTATCTCTTTTGTGCTCAGGCCCCCATAATTGCATCTCATTCCTGATTTCTACCAAATAATGAATGTATCCTGCCATGGTTTGCAGAACACATGGGGAGGAAGTGGTAGCACTGCGAGCTTAACTGGCACAAAAATTCTAACCAGATGAGGAAAAAATGTTTTGTCAAAGTAAGAGTGCTTTGAATTTTGAAGAGTGCTGTATAATCTAATAAACAGCCTTCTCTGGAAACCTTCAACTCTATCTTGAAAAGGCTATTACTTGTTATTTTAATATCATCTTGCCAATACCTCCATTTCGCCATACAAAGAAAAGATTCCAGAATCCTCCTCTCCTCCCCCTCTTTCTCTTTTTGGCAAGAGTATAAAAGGATTTTTTTTTTCCCTAAGCAAAGCAATAAATGACATGATTGGGAAAAAAAAACCCTTGTAAAATAGTCCTGTGTTTTCAACTTTATTAAGTAAGCAAACAAAAAAAGTGTTTGTTTTTTTTTAAAGCCCTAGAAGCCAGTCTTGGTTTAATGGATGTTGTCTCTGTTTCTCCCCTAATATTTCATTAGTCGAGTTTAACCAGTTGACATATTGGATTACTCTTTGTTTTTATTTGTTATTTGTTTACTTGTTATGTCAAATGATGTGGTAGATGTACAAGGCTGTGCAAACCTTAGAGTAGTATATAAATGCTGGCTGATTATTGTTCCTGCTGTTGTTGCTGCTGCTACTTTCCAGGCAGTTCAGAAAGTACAGGGAATTTTAAATAAGAATATCTTTCCCCATCCAGAGGCTCTCCAGAGAAGGATGCTCAGAGTGCAGGGAAGTGCATTTCTCCTGGTTGTTTTCTCCAGAATTAACTGAACTGAGTGTTTGTCCTTTTTGAAGTATCTGCCATGCATCCTTTAACAGCCTGATTGACTGGGTTTCTGCTTGATCTGAAAAGGACCACTCCAGGAAAAACTACAAAGTGAAGCAAAGTTTGGTTTCAGAGTCCTTCTGACTTCCTCTTTTCCTTTTCTACATCCCTCTCCACCCAGACCTCCAGTGCTCTTAGGCAAACAAGGCCCTGCTATTATCCAGATTCTCTCACAACATACCTCTGTGCCTGTCCCTTGCTCCCAACTAATCTTTTCTTTCTCCTCCCTCATCACAACTCCTAGTCTCCTGCTGCCTCAATTACAACTAATTCTTAGCAGAAAGGTTATATGGATAAAGAAATTTGTAGTCTAAAGGACCAAAGTTCTCATGATGGGATATGGGGCATTTTGATGGGGAGCTAGGAGTCAGAAAAAGGTTGATACCAAACATGTATCTGGTAGGATACATATTAAATAGGATTTGATTGTGAGCTGTGAAAAATCCCGATCATCTAGAAAGTTGTCCAAGTGTCTTTCCCCATAATGGGAGAAGTGCTAATGAGGTCTGATACAGTGAGGATACATTTCTTACTGTAAAAAAGACAGAAACATACAATTCTAAATTGATATCATATGAAAATGTTTTTGATAAAATGGAGACCCTGTCCTATAGTTCAAAATCTGAGGAATACATATAGTGTTTCCATCATACAGAATGTATTCATCTTGACCTTGGACCGACTTCCCACCAGCAGAGGCAGACAAACAGGAAGTGAGGAAGACACAGCTGCTGTCCAGCCAGAAGTGAAAGGAGCCAGTGAGATCTGAGTAACTGCTGTGTAAACATTTTAAATAAAGTCTTAAGAATTTTTTTAGCACTAGGGTGTGTTCCTGGGCTCTGCTTTTCATTTTACCCTTTCTCCCCCTTCTACTGACGGGTTGATGGATATATAGCTGCCTTTACCTTGTAGACAGCTGAAGAGGAGGAGCAGGAAAAGGAGGGCAGATGTGGGAAAGTGAATTCGTTAAGGTAAAGCCTAATTAGCAAGTCTTTGGTTACCTGATTGGGACACAAAGAGAGTTAGGGGGAAAAAGTAGGGCTGCAAAGAAAACAGAGATCTCAAGGAAAAGGTTAGAAAACCAAAGGCTTTTTAGAATCCATTTACCAAAGAGATATGGCATTAGGAATTATGGATCATAGGATTATAGATTCAGAGAAGGAAGGGATCTTAAAGGCCATCTGGGTCAACCCACCAAGGATAAGGAAACTGAGGCCCAGAGATGCTAAGTAGATTGTCCAGGTCATATAGGTAGTAAGTTGAAGAGGTAGGATTTGAACCCAGGGCAAATCCTGTGCCCTTTCTACTATATTAGACAGCTCATGGAAGTCAATCTTCATTTTGTCATTCACAGCCTTATTTTAAACTATTCCAAGGTAATCCTTGTAATTTTTTTTTTTTATCATAGTCAGCTTAGGAATCCCTGGTATTTTACCATAATGGCCCTGTTTTCCTCATGCTGAGCTAATTATTTCTCCCTCCCCTGGGAGGATGGCTGACATTATCGATATTATTTTTATACTGGTTTGGCAATAGAGGTATATTTTCTGCTTACCATTTACCCTGCTTTACAATTGCTGCAGAGATGAAATTTTGGTGGTCCTATCTATGACTTCTCAAATAGATCTGTGAGATCCCTTCAGTGAAGCAGATTGTATCCCATCCATGGCTGCCCATACTGTGTAAGTTGCCTCCATATTCTTCCAAAGTTTTATCACAGTATGTATCCACTGGGCTAGAGACCTTCCTCACCTTCTCCAATGTTGAGAAGGTATCTGTGGAGCACTCTGACTGTCCACTTGTCATCAATCATTCTCATCAATAGATCAGCCCATCTTCCCTTTGATAACATCCTTCTTTTTGGTTCTTCTTCAGAGTTCCTCACTGGGTATGTGCTGCAGCCTGCTCACATCTGCATGAACCTTTCCTTGTTGTCTTTGTGATGCTCATTGCAGTGGTGTAACAGGACTGACTGTCATACAGAAACACTGGTAAAATGTTGGTATTGAAAAGATAGGCCTTTGGGGGCAGCTAGGTGGCACAGTGGATAGAGCACCGGCCCTGGATTCAGGAGGACCTGAGTTCAAATCCAGCCTCAGACACATAACACTTATTAGCTGTGTGATCCTGGGCAAGTCACTTAACACCCATTGCCCAAATAAAAAAAACAAAACCAAAAACAAATGAAAAGATAGGCCTTTGCTGTAATGGGAAGCTTAGGGTCAGTAAAAATGCTTTACAATTTCCTGAAAGTAAACCAGCCTGCCCTCTTCCTTTTCAATCACATTGTGAAGGCCGTAAGTATCAAACTGAGTGACTCGAAGGATGGTGGTACTTTTGACAGAAGTAGGGAATTTAAGAGAAAAGATGGGTTTAGAGGGGGAAAAAATAATGATTCTTTTAAAAGCGTATTTAATTTATGATGCTTGTGGGCTATCCCAGGGAGATCCCCAGCAGGCAGCTGGTGATGAAGGGCTGGAGGGCAGCAGAAGGATAAGAACTTAGTTAGAATTGTGTTTGAATCTTGTCTTTGAAACTTCCTGGCAATTTGACCCTGGACAAGTCATTTAATATCTTTCGTACTCAATTTCCTTATCTTTAAAATGGGAATGGGGATTATCTTGTTTATCCCTAGCATTTAGCATAGTTCCTGGTACCAAATACTATACACATAGATACACACATTTATACCTATATCTATACAATAGATATGGATATCTATCAGTAGGTAGGTAGATAGATCTCCATATCTATACAGGTACTGAATTATACTAATAATACTTATTGACTGATTCTATTTGGATAATCTTAAATTGTTTTCCAAAATGGTTCTACTGATTTATAGTTCCACCGACCATGCACTAATGTGTATATTGTCCCACAGTGCTTCCAACATTGATTATTCCCATCTTCTGTCATCTTTGCCAATTTATAGGGTGTGAGGTGAAATGTCAGGCTTGTTTTAATTTGCATTTTTCTTCTTATTATTTATTTGGAACATTCTTTCATATGGTTGATAATGATTTGCAATTCTTCCTTTAAGAATTCTTGGTTCATATCCTTTGACCATGTAGACACTGCAGATGGCTTTTGCCCTTATCTATATCTATTCATTGTTTATATAGTATTACTGCTTTTCAATTGTAAACTTCTTAAGGGTAATGCAGGTTGTGTTCCTGAACTTTTTGTGAACACTTAGTAGTATACTATGTGCCTTCCAGTGTCCAAGTATTACTTGATGATGAAGATAACAATTCTGATGATTGAGTTCGTTTATAAATGATCTGACCAGCGCCCAGTAACACCCCCTTTAAAAATCCCTGCTCTTTGTCTTTCCAGGGGAGAAAGGAAAAAAAGAACAAGAGAAAGAGTTCAGATTCCAGTGCCCTAGTGAACATATATTGATTTGAAGGAGAAAAGCATATGAGTAAATTCCCTCCTGTTCCAAGTGATATGTGGATGTGCTTTCGTGTGTCTGGAAACTCAGGGACATGGCTAGACAACTCTTCCAAAATTATCACCACAATTGAGGGAATGACTATCAATTGGGGAATGGCTGAACAAGTTGTGTTATATGAATATAATGGAATACTACTGTGCTATAAGAAATGATGAGCAGGCTGACTTCAGAAAAACCTGGAAAGACTAGTATAGTCTGATGCTGAGTGAAGTGAGCAGAGCTAGGAGAACGCTGTACACGCTAACAGCCACGTTGTGTGATGACTAACTTTGATAGACTTAGCCCTCCTCAGCAATGCAAGGATCTAAGACATCTACAAAAATCTCATGATGGAAAACGCTGTCCACATCCAAAGAAAGAACTATAGAGTTTGAATGCAGATCGAAGCATACTATTAGCTACTTTTTTTCTTCTGTTTTGTTTAGTTTCCTCTTTCTGGTGGTTCCTCCTATTGGTTCTAATTATTCCTTACAACATTAGTAATGTGAAAATATGTTTAATAGAAATGTATATGTGTAGCCTATATCAGATTGCATCCATCTTGGGGGGAGGAGAAAAATTTTAAACTCAAAAGCTTATGGAAGTGATTGTTGATAAATCAAAATAAATTAACAAAATTGTCACCACAGTAGAATCACGATGAATACATGTACAATGCTAATGAATGTTGTTTTCTCACACACAAGCTGTTTTAATTCTTTTAAAGTAAATTCTTCTGCAAAAGGTGCTACCAAATAAAAAGATTTATGATTAAAAAAAACCTTTTAAAACTAATTTTTTACTCTTAAGATACCTCTTTATTTCTTAAAATAAATGAATCCGAATGGACAGGATGGTTTGTGGGTGTAAACACCACTAAAACATCCTAGAAAAAAAATAATTTGGGTTGTGTAGTAACATTTATGCTTACAAAACAGATCTTTTGAGATTGCCTCCCAAAGTCCTTTGATACTTTTTGTTAATGAAAACTTGCTTGTCTCTGTTATCTTACTAATTCCCTACCTTTTCCAGAAGGTCTTTGTTTGCCTTTTATTGTCCCCTACCTTCTCTTTAAGCTTTTCTCATTCTAGTTCCACTTTGTGTCTAGTGATTCACTAGGGTGGTCTTTTCTGTTCCAGGCTTACTGCCATTGAAAGGCTAGACATCTTGAAACCAGAACAAGTTGACTTTGGATGGGTTTGGATAATCTCATAGAATTTTAAAGTTGGAAGCTGCTTTAAAGTTCATCTAAGGGTTACCTCCATCCCAGGTCCTGGGAAAAATTTGACTTTGAGGCCAAAATCCCAGAGTTTAAAGAGACCTCAGAAATCATCCAATCTAACCTATGCTTGAACAAGAATCTCCTATTTAGCATCCTGACAAATGGCCATCCAGCCTCCAACTAAGCATCTCTAGTGATGGTGAATTCTCCACTACTGGAGCCAGCATGCTCTACTTTGAAATATCTTTGCATATTGAGAAATTTTTTCTTACATCAAACCTCTCTGAAACTTCTTATTTCAAAGACTCACTATCATATCACCTTGGTTGTTGTACCATGACCTTGTAGGCTGGTTCTATCAACTGGGGTCTTGCCCAGCTTTGCCTGGTTTTACAAACCAATCCCAGCACTCAACTCATTTTTCACAAGCCAGTACTTGTACCTTGGTCACTCTACTAAGGTGCTGCCTTGTTTCTTCATACATCTCACCCTTAACCCCACCCCTTCACTCCCAACTACCCTGATCTTTACTTCATTGCCTTTGGGACTGGGACATTGTTTGCTTGTCAATCTTCCTAGAGACTAGAAGCCTACTCTGCCTCCCAGCTCCTATGGCTATTTCTTCATTATCTGCTATATGACTTGAATTATGCTACTATTCTTTTCCTTTCTCTCAGGATATTTCTTTGAAGCCCAACCTTGCACTTGCCCTGATTCAAATCACGTCTTTGTCCACTGCTTGCAATTGCATCCCTTTGATTCTCCAGCCATTAGGTCAGACTTCCTCATAGTATCCACTACTTAGATCCCTCCATTTTGTTAGTCTTACTTTGGTAGGTTAATTTTGCACCTGGGATCTAGCTAGCCTTCATTTGGCCTATCCAAGATTCTGGAAAGAAGTGTCCTTTCCTCCATCTTTGTTCACATATTTTTAAAAACTAAGTTTCTCAGAGAACTCCCCATTTTACAAACCAGTTCCTTCTTTCGTCATCAGAACCATGATGAGAAGAGTTTTATAGAGAAGGAGACAAATTTGAAATAGAATTATCTCAAGCTGTTGATTCTACTTCTGGCCTCTGTGAGAGAAGAGTAAAGAACAAGGATCAGGATTGAAGAGTGTTGAGAGAAGAACTTAGGGAGAAGGAAAAGGAGAAGGTAGTCAAGATAAGTGAGAAAACTTAAGTGGAACAAATTGGCAATAAAATAACTTTGATGGAGTGAAGTGGTTCACTGGAAAAACTGGGGGAATAGGAAGGTGGTTTAATGAGAGGGAGGAAGTGTATATGACTATGGAGATGTTGAGTGGAAAGAAAAGAGGATGGAGTGTGGTTGTCAAGTTACTAAGAGGTGATAATAGGTTGTAAAGTTCTTAATAAAACTTTCCTCTTTCCAAGTTATCAGAAACAATAAATTGCTCCTAAAAATTAAGCAGGGATTTGGGGGGAGGTAAAAATGTCTGAAGTGGTGGTGGTGGGAAGACCTTTGTCAAGAGGTTAGTGAATGGATGTATGGCATACGGAGAAGGAATGGAAGGAAAAGGTTAAATGTATACTTACAGCACCACATAGAAAAACCCACATATTTGAGGATCCTCCTGAAGGGAGGAATCTGGATTCTCAGAGGAGGAAGGAGCTGCTTGTCCACCAAAGAATGATATAGTAAGCCACAGAAGCTATCAGATTGGAAAACATTGAGTGAAGAGGAAAAAGAGGAAAAAGTGAAGAGTAGTGGTGTTCGGTAATTCCTTGATCAGAGGTGATGAGGCAGCTATTTGTAACCTGAGAACAGTTAATAGTGATACGTATTCACCTTGGGTAGTTCATTTGAACGATATTGCCAGGAGGAATCAAAGAAGTATTACCAAAAATTATCAAATCATGGGGTCAAGAAACTGAATACAATAGGGTTAATGGGCTCCGTTTTCCTCGCTGTTGTCCATTGAAGGCAAAGGATACAGGACAGCAAAACAGATTTGGGAAGTGAGCAGCTGGCTCAGAAGGATTATTTGAGTATGCCATTTGGATTTCTGGGCTATGGCTTCAAAGAGAGAAATGACGTGTAACTGGATAGGGATGGAGTATTCATGACAAAGGCTTTTTTGGCAAGACGAGTCCTTCCCTGGACTCTGGACTTTCTCCACTATGGCGCAGTAACCTTTTTTATCCTGGAAGCTCACTCCAGCCCTGAAATTCATACACCCGAAGTACCCTCTGTTCTAGCAGCCTCTCTCTCTGATTGGATGGCTCCTCTCAGAACCTCCATTTAAGGAGGCCCAGGACAGTCAGGTCTTATTCCTCTTCAGGCTATACTCCAGACTTTCTATACCATACTTCTTTGGTTTCCTTTGCCTAGTCTTATCTTTTCATCTTCCTTTTATATGCTCTCTTCTCCCATTAGACTGAAAGCTCCTGGAGGGCAGACTGTCTTTTTTGCTAGTATTTGCATTTTTAGAACTTAGCACAGTACCTGACATATAGTAAGTACTTCATAAATGTTTTTTGTTGACTGTTGATCGACAAGACAGTAATTTATTAGGTGATAATTTCCAGCATATATCTGGAAAGTTAATCCTCCCTCAATGTCATAAATTGTTCCTATTCAAGTTTTGTGATGTCATTGAAAGAAAGGATTATTGTTCATATATACACAGTAGTTAGTCCAGATATGCATCATAAATCATTGAAATCAATCACAAAACTGGAACATGGGACAAATTTTGATAGCACTGAAGGTAGAGGACTTCAACTTTCCAGATATCTGTTGGAAATCCCATTTAGCTAAAAGTAGATTATCTGACAAATCTATTATATGATATAAATACATACATATGCATACACAAATATGCATGAATTTGATCTATATGTACATATATATACATACATACATGTGTGCGTGGGTGCTATAAAACACCCATATGCATGCATCTTTTTGGGTTCATTCATGTGATTCATTGGTACAGGAAACTACTAGTAATGAAATGTAGATGGACACCTGTTCTCTACCTTCTAATCTCGGGAAGCTATTTGAGGCACTAAGGGCTAAGCGACTTGTCCATAGTCACACAGTCAGGAATTTTCTCTCCAGATTGTCTCTCCAGAAATCTTTTGAATACTCCCACAATATCACCTCTTTTCTCTCTCCTTTATTCTAATCCAAATATTCCCCCAAATGGATTTTAGTCTATCTCTAATGCGGGCTTTCTTTTTCCTTCAAAGCCCAACTCAGATGTTACTTCTATGAAGTCTTCATTGACACCCTTAATGAAAATGGTCTCTTCTCAAATTTTTCATCAAACTTTGCCTTTCTCTTTGCATTTTGCTTACTCCACTCTTTATCTGCCTTACCTTATATAATTCTCCATTATTTCTTCTGAATTCCACAAATATACACCATGTCTTTTCACTTCTTTGCTTGGAATCTTCTCTACCTGGAGTGATATTCACCTTATGTGTGTCTATCAAAATGCTGTTAGCTCTTCCAGGTTTAATTCAAAGATACTTGCTCAATGCCTTCAAATAGAATATATTTTTTCCTTCTTATATTCCTAGCATGTTTCACAGCTTCTTATAACACATATTTATATTATATTAATTGAAATACTTCTTTCCTACTATATTCAATTGAATTCAGTTCCTTCCTTCCTTCCTTCCTTCCTTCCTTCCTTCCTTCCTTCCTTCCTTCCTTCTCTCTCTCTCTGTCACTCTCTCTCTGTGACTTTCTCTGTCTGTCTCTCTCTCATCTGTAGAAGCAGGAATGGAGATAAGAATCTACTGAGTTTACATGAGCTAAACTCATTGATGGGAAGATAGGCATCTTTCAAAGATGGAAGGTTCTCCTCTGGTCAAAGACCATGAAGTCATGTAGTTGAAAGGTTATTCCAGGGACTTCTCAATTCCTTCCAAGACCAAGATTCTCTGAACAATCAGTAAATCAGAGAAGATAGAA